CGAGTTTCTTTACTTTTTGCAGACGAAAGCAGAGCCACTTCGCCATGGTTTCATTGTTTTGATTTCGTCATTGTAGCTGAAATGATGGGTTGGGGGCTTTGAGTCGCCCAGATTTACTTCCCCCGGTCTGCATTTTCACCAGATAATACGTTGTTCTCCCACACAAAAACAGAATTTCAAACCAAATATGTAAAATTCCACGAAATTCCGCATTAACACTAGATTCCAGGTTAATTGGCCAATTCCGCAATTCTGTGATCGTGGAAACATAGGGCCCTACGCACTTTGCGCGCATTCAGTCATGCCAGACCATGCATGCAGTAGCCTGCTTGATTTTATGTTAAATTAACAGTAGTTTGTGTGTTAATACTTTAATAGCAAATAATTTATGAGGAGCATTTATGCTGATGCATATGGTGGCAAGTAGGTTAACTTGAAAGTATTTGGAGGTACAGAAAAAAAGTCTATTTGCGGGTGTGAGCAGGACAAAACATAAATGTTGCGGGAGGGAGAAAGTAATATAGAAGGTAGTCGAGAACGTCAGTTATAACGAACCACGTATTAAAAAATGCTCAATCTAACTGAAAAAACAAAACAAAACAACTTTCTCCACTCACCACTCACTGGTCTCTGTGGCCCCACGGTAGAAGACTTTGCAGAATGCGTCACAGCAGCGAAGTCATCGCAGGCCATGAACTCCAGCTCCAAAGTTGCCAAAAAACAGTGCCAACTCAGCAGCCAGCCAAGCAAGTGGCTGTCACTACTCAGCAAAAGCCAGCCCCTGAGTATCGGCAGCACCCTGCAGGTCAAAATGGGTACTGGACACGGTGAGATGAAGTTACTCGCTCTAATTCGCTCGCAGACCACCGTGTTGGGGCATAGTCAACACGTTGGTGACTGGCAAAGGGAGCCATGGACACAGTTCCTCCTCCAGCCGCTACTTCAACATTTCCAAGAAGTAGAGGTCGACCGATTCATCGGTTCTGCCGATATATCGGTACCGAAAGTTGATTGGTGTGATTATTGGTTATCGGCAAAAATCCATACCGATAGTTTTACCGAGTTCCGTCAGTTACTGGAGCGGGTCAGAGGAGTATGCTGTCATTACACAGTATGAGAGCACTTGGAAGGGACTGCTGGCATTATACAGAGCGAGAGCGGCCTCTAGAGGCCAAATAAGAACTATCACAGGCTGATTTGTTTACTTTAACACGTGCAGGCCTACTATGGATACATGGATACTTCATAGGGGTGGGGTAAACAATTGATTCTTCGATGCATTGCGATGTGGACGATCCTGAATCGGTTCACAAATGTAAAAAAAAATCAATTTTCAAAAAAAATATTTTTTTTGATATACATTTATAATAACGTAATATTGACGGAACGCGAAAGACGGAACTCTGAAGCGCGGAAGTGCAGTGGCCGGACCGTCTGTGGCGTGCACAATAACAGAGACGCAATGGCACGCGAGATTATTGCACAGGTGTGCCTTAGGCTGGCCACAATAAAAGGCCAAAATGTGCAGCACCACTGTCTTTGTATACTTCCTAATTTAGATTACCGTAATTTCCGGACTATTGAATGCACCTGAATATAAGCCGCACCCTCTGAAAAAATTATTTAACATAAATAAGCCGCACATGTCTATTGCCGCAGGTGCCTACCGGTACATTGAAACAAAAGTACTTTACACAGGCTTTAACGAAACACGACTTGTAACAAAAATAAATAGGCTTTAACGAAACACAGCTTAACACAAAAATAAATAGGCTTTAACGAAACACGACTTAAAAAATAAAAAAATAGCAGTAAACAGTAGCCTACCAAGAAAGTCATTGGTCACTATCTTCCTCCTCCTGTGCACTGAAACCATCGAAGTCTTCTCCTTCGGTGTCAGAGTTGAATAGCCTCAGAATTGCTTCATCCGATGTTGGATTGTTTTCATTGTCGCTCTCGTCACTTTCATCTGGAGGCAAATCCCCCGCTGAGCCCTCTTCAACACGCAGCAGTCCAGCTTTTCGAAACGCGTTGATGATAGTGGATTTTTTGACATTGTTCCACGCTGTCAGGACCCACTGGCAGACTTGACCGTAAGTTGCTCTTCGAATGCGGCCCGTTTTAGTGAAGGATTTCTCCCCTCTTGTCATCCAAGCTTCCCACTGAACACGGAGCGCCACCTTAAATGCACGATTTACACTGATGTCGAGTGGATGCAAATACTTTGTTGTGCCCCCAGGAATCACAGCTGGAATTGAGTTTGACCTCTTGATGGCTTCTTTCACCGAATCTGTTATGTGGGCCCTCATGCTGTCCAAAACGAGCAATGCCTTGTTCCTGTGAAACAATCCTCCCGGTCGCTTGCCGTAACACTCCGTATGCCATTCATGCATTAGGCTTTCCGTCATCCATCCTTCCTTGTTCGCTTTCACAACAATTCCGATTGGGAAATTTTCTTTTGGCATCGTTGTGCGTTTAAAAATCACCATCGGTGGAAGCTTTTCTCCCGATGCCGTGCAGCTCAGAACACAGGTGAAGTGCGTTTTTTCATGCCCGTTTGTTTTCAGCGTGACGGATGATTCACCTTTCCTGCTGACAGTCCGAGTGAGAGGCAGGTCAAAAGTCAGAGGAACCTCATCCATATTTATGATGTCTTGCGGGCAAATTGAATGCGCCGCTATCTTTGCATCAGTGAATTTGTGGAAGTTTGAAACTTTTTCCTCGTAGTCGGGAGGGAGCTGCTGACACAGACTCGTCCGTACCCTGATAGACAGGCCTTTGCGTCTCATAAATCTGAGACACCACGATGGTCCACCTCTAAAATCCTCTAACTTCATTGCGGTGGCGATTCTTTTGGCTTTTAGTCGGATCTGCACAGTTGAAACACCTCGGCCGTCTGCTCTCTGTGTGTTGACCCAGTCTTCGAGCTCATTTTCTAGTTCAGGCCATCTGCTTTTGTTCCCTCTGAAAGCTTTAGTCGTCTTTTTGCACTGAGTCAAATCCTCGCGCTGCTGTTTCCAACGTCTTATCATCGACTCATTAAGACCAAGCTCCCGTGCAGCAGCTCGATTTCCTTTTTCAGCAGCCAGATCAATCGCCTTCAACTTGAAAGCTGCATCATATGCATTTCTCCGTGTCTCTGCTATGATGAGGGTGACAAAATGACTACCGTTAGCAGAATGATGGGAAGTTTGAGCGTGCTCAATGTAATCTAAACAGTACATAAAGTAGTTTGACCTAAACCTGTTCGGCAATTTCATTGGTCTAATTAAAGCTTCATGCCGCCAAAAAAATGAGCAAGTCACAGAATGTGTGTTTTTTTTTTTAAATTGAAAGCGGGAAAAATCAATATATTAGCCGCATCATTGTTTAAGCTTCAAAGCGTGGGAAAAAAGTTGCGGCTTATAGTCCGGAAATTACGGTAATTAACTAGTATTTAATTCACCATTATTTCTCTTGATTAAAATTTGAGAAAATGTCATGTCTTAGATTGTAGGTCTGCATGACTTTACAATAGAATCGGGACAACTCTGTCTAGCATGCTGCGGGCAAACTACACGTTTCACAACAAACACACGTGAGATGTGACAAGAAAACAACAAGACCTCACACGTGCAAGACCAGAGTTCTCCTGTGAGACTTTTTTCTTTTTCGACCCAGTTGTGGTACAGCTCAGATGAAACGTCAAACAGACACGAGTGCGCCTGCCAAATTTCTACTAATTTTTCTTCCATTTCTAGGGTCCAAATAGGCAGAGAGAAAGCCTTTTTCAGAAACACTGCCATGTTGATATGTGATCTATAACTCCTCCCCGAACTCCCCACTTCTCTGTATCTTGCTCTCTCATTGGCTGTCGGTAATAGCAGATGTAGTTTTCAGTCAGAACACGTTTCACACAGCAGGATTTTGAATCGCCGACAAGTCCAAATGATGATGTACACAGCGGGCTGTTTAGCTACATCTGGTCACTTCACGTGTTTCTGTGATCTGATTGCTATCCGATCGTGAAAAGACCAGGTGTAAGCTAAATGCCCTCCGAAACGCATTGGAGACGGATTTAAATCCGATCGCTCAAACCACTTCATGGGGAGGTCTGAGCCGCTTTACAGACGAAACTGGACTCGTGTAAAGGCATCTGGTTGTTGAAACCCAAAAATTGGACTTCTCCCAAAAATGCTGAAATAAAACGTGTGAGAGCAGCCTGTGCTATTATATTCATTATATGACGAAGCTATAACACGCACCGCAGCTGAGCACCTATTCATAAAGCCAACGTGCAAACTATCATAAATCAAAGTGAAAGTAAGTCACAGACGCTTAACACAATCATCTTCGTTAAAAGTAAAGAAACAAAATGATCTTACCAGTGCTGTCTCTCTTATCGTGGTCTTTGATTGTGAAATTAGCTGATGATCAATAAAATGCAGCTCATTACTGTTGCTTTCGGTGACGTGAACTCCGTTAAATCTGCATATAGCGCGTTGTTTGAAGATCGGATGCGTAAACATTTATGCGTCCAGGTATAAACTGCCCCATTATGAGCTGTCAGCATCTGTATAATTTTCTGTTAATTGCAAATTGTGGCATGTCGCAAATCTGTCACATCTCTTGTGTTTTTATGAATGACGTCAGCGACTAGTCGACGTCAACTCAACTTTGATGTCATAACAGTCGACTTCAAAAAATCTGAAGTCGTTCAACCCCTACTCTTAAATGGGCAGCAGCACTGTCTTTGTATACTTCCTAATTTAGATTACTGTAATTTCCGGACTATTGAGCGCACCTGAATATAAGCCGCACCCTCTGAATTAAAAAAAAGTATTATTTTGAACATAAATAAGCCATACATGTCTATAAGCCGCAGGTGCCTACCGGTACATTGAAACAAATGGACTTTGCACAGGTTTTAACGAAACACAGCTTATCACAAAAATAAATAGGCTTTAACGAAACACGGCTTATAACAAAAAATAAAAAAATAGTAGTAAACAGTAGCCTACCAAGAAAGTAATTGGTCTTTCTATCTTCCTCCTCCTGTGCACTGAAACCATCGAAGTCTTCTCCTTCGGTGTCAGAGTTGAAGCGCCTCAGAATTGCTTCATCCGATATTGGATCGTTTTCATTGTCGCTCTCGTCACTTTCATCCGGAGGCAAATCCCCCACTGAGCCCTCTTCAACACGCAGCAGTCCAGCCTTTCGAAACCCGTTGATGATAGTGGATTTTTTGACATTGTTCCACGCTGTCAGGACCCACTGGCAGACTTGACCGTAAGTTGCTCTTCGAATGCGGCCCGTTTTAGTGAAGGATTTCTCCCGTCTTGTCATCCAAGCCTCCCACTGAACACGGAGCGCCACCTTAAATGCACGATTCACATTGATGTCGAGTGGATGCAAATACTTTGTTGTGCCCCCAGGAATCACAGCTGGAATTGAGTTTGACCTCTTGATGGCTTCTTTCACCGAATCTGTAATGTGGGCCCTCATGCTGTCCAAAACGAGCAATGCCTTGTTCCTGTGAAACAATCCTCCCGGTCGCTTGCCGTAACACTCCGTATGCCATTCATGCATTAGGCTTTCCGTCATCCATCCTTCCTTGTTCACTTTCACAACAATTCCTATCGGGAAATTTTCTTTTGGCATCGTTGTGCGTTTAAAAATCACCATCGGTGGAAGCTTTTCTCCCGATGCCGTGCAGCTCAGAACACAGGTGAAGTGCGTTTTTTCATGCCCGTTTGTTTTCAGCGTGACGGATGATTCACCTTTCCTGTTGACAGTCCGAGTGAGAGGCAGGTCAAAAGTCAGAGGAACCTCATCCATATTTATGATGTTATGCAGGCCAATTGAATGCGCCGCTATCTTTGCATCAGTGAATTTGTGGAAGTTTGAAACTTTTTCCTCGTAGTCGGGAGGGAGCTGCTGACACAGACTCGTCCGTACCCTGATGGACAGGCCTTTGCGTCTCATAAATCTGAGACACCACGATGGTCCACCACTAAAATCCTCTAACTTCATTGCGGTGGCGATTCTTTTGGCTTTTAGTCGGATCTGCACAGTTGAAACACCTCGGCCGCCTGCTCTCTGTGTGTTGACCCAGTCTTCGAGCTCATTTTCTAGTTCAGGCCATCTGCTTTTGTTCCCTCTGAAAGCTTTAGTCGTCTTTTTGCACTGAGTCAATTCCTCACGCTGCTGTTTCCAACGTCTTATCATCGACTCATTAAGACCAAGCTCCCGTGCAGCAGCTCGATTTCCTTTTTCAGCAGCCAGATCAATCGCCTTCAACTTGAAAGCTGCATCATATGCATTTCTCCGTGTCTCTGCTATGATGAGGGTGACAAAATGACTACCGTTAGCAGAATGATGGGAAGTTTGAGCGTGCTCGATGTAATCTAAACAGTACACAAAAAAGTAGTTTGACCTTAACCCGTTCGGCAATTTCATTGGTCTACGGTAATTAAAGCTTCATGCTGCCAAAAAACTGAGCACATCACAGAATGTGTTTTTTTTTCTTTCTTTCTTTCTTTTTTTTATTGAAAGTGGAAAAAAAAATCAATATATTAGCCACGTCATTGTTTAAGCCGCGAGGTTCGAAGTGTGGGAAAAAAGTTGCGGCTTATAGTCCGGAAATTACGGTAATTAACTAGTATTTAATTTACCATTTCTTTTGATTAAAATTTCAGAAAATGTCACGTCTTAGATTGTAGGTCATCTTGGACCCTGTCAAGGACAAAGCTAACCAGCAGCACTTGATATGAAAAGCAGCCTAAATGTTACGTGTTTGCACCATATTATAGTGAGTAACATTTCTTGGTATTGCCATTTCAAGTAGTCCACCATAATCTGTAGTCTGAGCCTGTCCAGGGCTAATGGCAATGGCAGATACATTACTAGTGAATTTCGAGGTAAATCATTTTCAAAAGATCTTTTTTTTTCGTACCAAATACCCCTGCACGTATAAAAAAAACCCCCAGCCAGTATTTGATTATACAAAATAAGGATTTTGTTTGATACTGCTGTAAAATTAAAGGGGTGGTTTGGAATTTTGGACATCGGGCCTCATTTCCAAGTGAGCCTTAGTGTTATTTATCTGTGGAGACCATTTTAATTGCATAGTTTGCCGGTGCTAGGCTAGCGCGAGTCAACAGTAACTTTTAGCATGCCATTAAAATAGTTTAACCCACTCCACAGTACACTAAAATCAAATCAATTATAACGCCAGACTAGCGATGTAAGTGTCTGTTGATAGAATAATGTTAGAAATCAAACTATCCTTTTCATCTCAATGATTGCATTACATTTACAGGAACTAGTTTCTTAGCAGCGGCGGAATTATACTTCACTCTGTTTAGTAGTAACGTTACTGCGTCAAAAAGTAAACACAGAACAGAACCGCATGACAGTCGGGACATCTAGCTAGCAATTTCGGATTATTTTGAAGGCTTGGACACCTGCAGGGACTCTAAAAAATTGATTTGCAGTGACCATTTTAGACCAGACGACTTTAAAGAACCATTAATCGAAACGGTCACAGGTTTATGACAGGGAATTCAGTCCAGCCGTCTTTCCAGATGCACCAACAGCTACAGATGTAAGTAATATATTTTGTTAGGCTACTCTAGCTGATGAAGCTAGCCCTTTCATAACACTGACAACGTCAGTGGAGAATACATAACAGTTCAATGCATTTTGTTGAGTGACAGTGTAACTAAGTGAAGACCGTAAAACTTCAAATAATAGCCGAGACGCCTGTCTCTTTTACACGTCTGGTGTGGCTGATAGAGGCCGATCGTCCGCTTTTTTGGCGGCGCAAAAGCAAATTTCTGTCCCGCCAAAGCCTATAGCGACTGCAGCGCTTGACTGGGCACGTAACGAGCAGAGACAGAGAGAGAGCGCATGCACTCTCACGTCTTCTCACAACCGATCACAACACATCATAAATTATACTCTGTTTCTGTAGTGATGAGTGTCAGTGGCAGGTAAATACCGATGATAAACACATTTGCGTGATTGTCATGTGGACCGGCTCTCTCGGTTTGCTAGGTAACTTCATATCACACGTCGCTGCTGTAGACTGTGCTAATAAATATGGGTAGAACAATATAACTATTGCAATGCAATGAAAGGATAGTTTGAGTTCTAACATTATTCTCTCAACAGACACTTACATCGATAGTCTGGCGTTATAATTGATTTGGTTTTGGTGTACTGTGGAGTGGGTAAAACCGGTTTAATGGCATGGTAAAAGTTACCGTTGACTGACTCACGCTAGCCTACTACCGGCGAACTATGCAACTCGAACGACTGAATGCAATTTTTTAAAAACACTAAGGCTCACTTGGAAATGAGGCCCGATGTCCAAAATTTCGAACCACCCCTTTAAGCAATAAAATTTTCAAATTAGAAGTTGATTTGGGGTTTAATGTTACACAAGTAGGGCTGGGTATCGTAACAAAATGTTCGATACCGATACCGGTTCCTGAACGATACCTTTTTCGATACCAATTTTATGTAAACCAGTTTTAAAAATATAATAGTACCTAAATTTTTGTTTTATTTTTCAGTTTGTTGACTTTTTCACACTCATACTTTGAGTATAAAGCACCAAAAGCTAAAGTTTTCTATGTTTCCTAATCATTTAACAACATGTATTCTTTACCTCAATGAGCTCATTGTTTCTGCCTTATCTTAATGCACTGTTTAACAATGAAACTGAATGAGAGAATTAAATCAAATATAGGCGACTGGGGGCGGGATTTATGCCTCGCGCTCAGCACACATGAATCTTGCCGCAAAGATCTGGCAACAGTAGCCTAATGATTATGGATGTGTTGGGAAACAACAGCAAGGATACATTTTAATTTTTTATTAATGAACAAGTGTTTAATAAGTCTGCTGGCAACAAACTCATACTCGTCATTCCAGCAGTAGTGAATGCGCGCGCCTATATAGATTAGGTAATCAAACTATTTATTTCTAGATGTTTTGTTTAAAAGTAAACATATTTGACCATCTATAGGGCTATTTCTCATCTCTATGAGGCAAGTATCCTATTTGCTGAGTTTCGGTTTTATTTGTGACGCGCTCCAGTTCTTGCAGTCGAAGACAGATAAAATTTCTACTCTCAAGTGTCTGTGCGCATATCAGATTTACCGCGTTACTGGTCTTGGAAGCAATTATCTTGTCGAAAATATTTCATTGCATGCTTCTGGCATCGAGTCTGGGTCATAGTTACACTTTGGATTATTTCCACATATTTTCTATCCATCTGGGTTGGGACGCTTACACGCACACACCATAGACTGTGAAGCACACACACACACACACACACACTACAGGCTCACGTACGAGCTACGTCTCTGGGCAGCCGCATAAACTAGTATTTTCCACCACAGCCAATCATGCTGCATGCTTATTTTTTCACTGACGTTGACGAGATTTAACCACAATTTGGTACCGAAAAACAAGACATGTTTCGATACTCGGGAGTACCGAGGCAATAAAAAGTACCGAACTTGGTACTAAAAAGTACTGAACTCGGTACCCAGCCCTAAACACAAGCAATTGTAAAATGCTATTTATGTGTTATTTTTTTCCTAATTTAATGTGTGTCATAATAACAAATGGAAGTTGTTTTTTGTCAGGTGGAGGCAACATTAGCATTTGTCTGGTCATGTGATCTCAACATGTCTATCCGACACGAATAAATAAACCACCTTAATTAGGAAACTCATTTGACATTCTTCAAAAATATCTTTAATTTCTGTAGAGCTGGACATTTTTAATAAGGATCAAATGACTGATTTCAGCTGTGAGAATGAAACTGACCTGTTTGTTTCTCAGTTTCTTCTTGTTTCACACTGAATGTTTCTTCAATCTGCATGTCTTCACTCTCCTCTTTAATAAACGCCATCTTTGTTTGTTCCTCGGTTTCTTCTTGTTTCATACTAAATGTTTCTAAAATCTTTATGTCTTCACTGAATGTTTCTTCAACCTTCATGTCTTCACTCTCCTCTTTAATAAATGCCATCTTTGTAATGGTGAGTCACGTGGCTCTCAGTCACTTCACCAGGTGTTTTTCTGTTTAAAATGAGAATAATTAACAGAAAGAAAAATAAATCCACACTAAATCTCTGTGAATGTCCCAATCAGATCTAGTTCAGTTCACTTTTCAGAGAGTCAGTCAGAGTGAGAGTAAGGCCCAGTCCACACAACTGCGTTTTCATTTGAAAACGGAGACCTTTTGCTACGTTTGCACCTCCCGTCCTGACTAAAACGGAAAAAACGAAGACCCAAAACGGATTAATTTAGGACACACTGACGCAGAGGCTCATGCTCGGTTCTATGATTGGGTGTCAGTCATGACGTGTCCTTCCCTGATTCGTCAGCCAGCCATCAAGTCAATCCGTTTCCTGTTTACACAGGCGCACGCCGGCCCAGTGTTTGTGAATGGTCTATGATTCGCGTTTTCAGTCGTTTTTAATGTGGACAAGATCAATTCTAATACACAGATAAAACACTGGAGAGGACGGAGTTTGTATTCGTTTTAATTCTCCACTTTTAAATGAAAATGCAGTAGTGTGGAGGGACCTTTGTTAATAGACTTTGCCTTTGTTGCTTTGTTAGGGACACTTAAAATACAACAATAATGATCAGCCTATATATATTTTTCACAACAAAAAAAACGAACCATCACTGAATTAAGTTTGACAATTTAAAACAATCTGCATTGCGAAAAGCACTATATAAAGGAGACTTGACTCACCTTATTAGACAAAAAACACTCAAAACTAAACATAAATTAATAAAAGAAAAAACTAAAACAAAAATCATACAAACTACATTTGTATTCGCGATAAAGGGAGCAAAATGAGACACAATAACTCATGCGTGAATGCGATTTACTCCTTTATACACAATGGTACATTTACCAGTAATTAATTAATTTCATTGTAGACCGTTTGACCAGGTTGCTTAGTAAACACTTTAAATGATGATTCTTCTTCTTTTTTGTGTGTGTGTGGTTGGCAAACAGTTTTTCAGTGCATTATCGTCTGAATAGGAGTGTGGGTCTGAACTCTACATCCTAGCAGTACACTCTCTATGGAATAATACTGTTGTTTTCAAGTAAGAAAAAAATTACATCTCAAACATTGTTCCTCAGAATTTCTTTGCAATATATCATTAACATCCAGTCTTATCTTTACTTCCACAAACTGTTCTATCAGTGTTTTTCTTTACTGATTGTATTTAGGACAATCACAATGTGTTCTAGATAACATGTTCATTGATTACCACACGCACAGTTACCATCAGCATGTTTCCTCATAATAACTAATGTGCTGTTCAATCCTACATGTCCATATCTCATTCTAGAGATAATATCTTCCTCCTGCATGCTCACTTTAAATGATTAAAAACACAAACCTTTCTTCAGTCGAATCCAGGGTCGAATCACACCAAACGCAGGAGTGTGGCGCAGCTTTGTGACGTCACATCGCCACACCAAAATAAAAGTCCTGTCCGCACGCTACAACTTGTAGAAATATGCATAAAGAAAAACACATTCAAATATAAATTTAACGGATGAGTTATAGATTCAAATGTTATCAATACCATTTAGATTTTTTTTTCAAGAGATTCTTACCAAAATATAAGCCTGCGTGAGTGATATTCAGACAAGGATAAAGTCTTCATATTACAAAGCATTGTAAAAAAAAGAAAAAAAAGTATTGTAAACTCTTTAGGAATTTGTAGATCAAAATGTCTGATTTCAACCTGTGGTGTAACTAATAGATATATTCATCTTATTTCATCTGAATATCTCCAAAATATTGGGGCAATAAATAAAATAAATTTTCAACTTTATTTGGTTAAAGTGTTTGACGTAAAACAAAAGCGTGCCCAATCCTACGCCTGCCGATCGACTGCAAAGTTATATATATATTCTTGTTGAATTTTTTTCACTTAAAAAAATTATGCAACTTTAAATGTGTAAATAAAAGAGAATTCATTGCTCTGGACATTTTTGTGATGAGAGTCATAATTTCTACATGAAACATTCTTCCATACCTTTTTTTTTTCTATAGACAGTGACACAGATCCATTAAATTGGTGGAAAACTCAAACTTTTTTATGTGGAAGTTTATAATTACTTAAGTTTAAAAGTAAAAGTTTGAGTTTTATATGTATATTACCGACATCTACATTTTGGTCTTTATGTTCATTTTATATTAAAGACAGTGCAGTTTAATAAACTTATTACCAGTGTTGATCAAAGTGCATAATTTAATACTTGAGTACAAGTACAACTAGTATCACTTGCTGTAGAAAATACTTTCATCCTTTTTACTTTGTAACCTTTAGAAAAATGTGGAAGAGAGTAGAAAGTATTATATTAATCTTTAAAATATGGAGGCATAAAACTAATCAGTTCTCAAAAAAAAAATCTCAAGTAAAGTACAGATCAACTGAAGTAAATTTACTTTGTTACTGACCACCTCTACTGCATGTTTACACTACAGTTTACACTGGTGTTTACCAAAAAAGTGTTTTGTAATTTCAAAAGCATGTCTATTCCTAATAGAGTACTGTTTGCTTCGTACAAATATTGTTCTGAAAAGGCACTGTTCTTAATGATTACAATAAATATTTAGCACTGTAATTTGGTTCATGTTTAAATCAAGAATGTCTCACATCTTTATGTACTAGTAATTCTATACAATAATAGGTCAAATGCAGAAGTCAAAAGACCAACTGGATCTTCTTTGCCAGTTTGCACACATTTCTTTGAAGGACTGCAAAAATATCGTCTGAATATCGATATCAAGATATTGAAAAAAAATATTGAGATATCAATTTTTGTCAATATCGCCCACCCCTAAGTTCAGTAACCAGATGTATACAGTCACAGTATTGAGTTCAGTAACCAGATGTTTACAGTCATAGCATTGAGCTCTGTAACCAGATGTTTGTAACATCACAGCATTCTGTTCTGCTTGCAGATGTTTATGTGAAGTCAGAGTGTTGAGTTGCCCAGTTTCTCTTCATTCATTGAAGATTTGATATTAAAGTATTTTTTAAGGTCATATTTTGTGTAAGCCATTTGTATGCAAGCAATTTTCAGTGTTTTTTATTTTTAAAATGGAAATTTTAAATTGTCAGATTCTAGCAGTGTTATAATGTAAAGATCATGTTTTACAGTACTTTAATACACTTTATACTAATACACAGAAGATTACAGCAGGAACACTCATATAACTATATAATGGCAGCCGAACAGCTGACAGTATTATACTGTGCAGGCTTTATTTTCTACACTGTAAATAAATAATCCTGTAAAAAAAAAAAAAAAAAAAACCGGTAAACTAATGGCAGCTGTGGTTGCCAGCATCATACCGTAAAAATACGGCGTGTTACTGTTTTTGTGTTCGAGCATATAGCTGTTAAATTAAAGTTTTAAACTGCAGCTGACAATACAGTATTTAGCTGTTAATTTCAAAAACAGTAACACACCATATTTTTACGGTATGATGCTGGCAACCACAGCTGCCAGTAGTTTACCTTTTTATTTTACAGGATTTTTTTTTTTTTTTGCGCAGGAGGCAAACAAAACGACGGGTAAGTGTGCAGGGCAACCACCCAGTAAAGCAGTAAAATAATCTTGCCTTAAGGTCATAAATGCTTGAACTAACTTCTCTGCATTTTTTATAATTTAGATATATTTTTAATATGGCAAAATGCAGTTATACAGATGTTAGAGATGTGGCTTTCAAATGAAAGATTGGTATTAAACAGCACACCCAGGTTCCTAACTAACGACGAAGACTCAACAGAGCAGCCATCTAGTGTTAGACTGTATTCTAGGTTATTACATCAGGAGGATTTTGGTCCAATCATTATAAAAGTATTTTTAACAATTAATAAGTAGTAAATTACAAGTCATCTGATTTTTTTATATCAACTATGTATTCCATTCATTTTGTGAATTGGTAAGTTTCGTCAGGGCTAAAAGAAAAATAAAGCTGAGAGTCACCAACGTAATAGTTTCAATAAGCTAACGACTGAAGGAATACAAATCTATTATGTTTCATAAAGGTTTAACAGTATTTTTAACTGAAAAAAAATGTATACAGTGTTTACCATTTTGAGGCCAAGCATTCCATGTGTCACACATTAGCTTTTGTCTTTATGCACTTCCTAGCCATTAAGTTAATGGTAAAGGTTTACAGACTGATTAGATTAGCGTCTCCGGTAACCAGCTGAATCATTTACATTAGCTTTGTTTCAAGAGTCTCCTCCTCAATGTAACTCCTCCAGATTAGCATCTCAAGGCATAGAATAACTGCTATCCTGATGAACTGAGGTGACTTACCTGAATCATTTACATTTGCTTTGTTTCAGTGTATACACCTTTATGTAATCCCGCCTTTTTTAAATTTATAAGAATAGTTCTGTATTTTAGTTTGTAAGACGATGTTAAAATACTGCAGCTACCAGCAATAAAGAACTTCTGCTTGGAAAACGTCCATTGTCTCCTGGTCTCCCTAGCTTCTAACTTTTCTACAAGGAAAAAGTTTCCCACATGCCATGTTACCTGATGCACTATATCGCCAAAAGTTTTGGGACGTCTGTCTTTACATGCAGATAAACTTTAATGACATCCCATTCTTAATCCATAGGGTTTAATATGGAGTTGGCCCAACCTTTGTAGCTATAACAGCTTCAACTCTGGGAACGCTTTCCACAAGGTTTAGGGGTGAGTTTATGGGAATTTTTGGAATGGGACATTGGATGAGAGGCCTGTCTCGCAGTCTCCACTCTTATTCATCCCAAAGGTGTTCTATTGGGTTGAGGTCCGGATTCTGCGCAGGCCAGTCAAGTTCCTCCACCCCAGACTTGCTCATCCATGTATTTATGGCCGGGGCCATCCTCAAACTGTTCCCACAATTTTGGGAGCAAGAAATTGTCCAAAATGTCTTGGTATTCTGAAGCATTAAGAGTTTCTTTCACTGGAACTAATGGCGCTTTTCCACTGCATGGTACGGCTCGGTTCGACTCGGCGCAGAACAGTTTGGCTCGCTTCGCGTTTCCACTGCGTGGTACGACTCGACTCGGTACGGATCGGTTCGCTTTAGCTCGGTTGCTTTTCCACTGCAGTAGTACCCCTTCAAAGTGTGTGGGACTGATCGTTATTTTCGCGCACCTCTACTGGCATGACATCATCTTAAAAGCGCCACATTTTCAAACCCACAACACAGGAACAATGGAGCCTATCGAGGGGATGGTGTTCCTGATTCTCGGCATGTGGATGTTTGTAACTGCTAGACGGAAAAATGTGTTTAAAATGAGGCTGATGGCAGCAAAACAAAATACTGCAAAAAAAAACAAAAGAGTCTGGGAACTCTTACAACGAAGCCCAGATGACGACATCACTCGGTCTGCCCGACGGCGCGCCATGGTAAGCTAAGTTAATCTTGTTTAGGGTCTCAATCGCTATATCGTCACAAAGCATATAATGAATTTTGCTGGTAATATTATGTATTAAGAAGTGTAATCTGTGTATTTCAGATGTATCATATTACACAAAGTCACCTCAACAGACCATCTGTTTGGACGTTTAACAGAGCTTCTGAGTGGTGGGATGTGATAGTTCCTGGTTTTACAAACACGCAGTGGTTGGAGAACTTTAGAATGTCGGAAGAAACGTTTATCTATTTGTGCAACAAACTGCGCCCTGCGATGGAGCGACGGGACCAGTGGTGGAATGTAACGAAGTACAAATACTTTGTTACTTTACTTAAGTACATTTTTCACGTATCTTTACTTTACTTAAGTAGAATAAATAGTGCATACTTTTTACTTTTACTTCGTTACATTTTGCAGCAATTATTATACTTTCTACTCCACTACATTTCTACAACTTCTGTTACTTTTTCATTACATTTTCTGATCAGTTTTTCCTGCCAAAACGTAATCTGACCGTCCGTTTGTTGCACGTTTGTCTCTCCAGTGACGTTTGGTTGCCATAGATACAGCAACTAAATGCGTGTCGTGTCGTGCGATTTATACGCGGAAATTTGTTTTTATGTGCATAGGAAACACACCGTGTGTAATATACGTTTGGTTAGGATTATGGCAAGCCAAGAGGTTCAGAATTACACCATAAATTAATCGCGTTTACTGCCAAACATAGTTATTAACATATGGTTTATATTGCCTAATTGCAAGCTTGTTTCAGAAATGGTGACTTTTTTTTCCCATCATTATTGAACATCATGTTAAAGAATTAAATGTTTTATTAATCATTAGAAAATAGTCATTAAGAGAATCAATTGTTATGAAAGTACTTTTACTTTTAATACTTAAAGTACATTTAAAATCAGGTACTTTTTACTTAAGTATGGTTGTCATTGTGCAACTTCTACTTTTACTAAAGTAAATATTTATCTGGTTATTTGTACTTTTACTTAAGTACTGAGATTCAGTACTTCCTCCACCACTGGACGGGACAC